CTCGATAAATTTTGTTACCTTGTTTTTGGTGGGTCTGGTCATTCTTTGGCCAAGAACAGACCAAGGACCATGAACAAGGACTACTGCCTGAACCCTGAAATTCTCAGGAATATTTAAGAAAATAGGAAATTTCAAGATAGATTTCATTACAGAAGCTTATGCTCTCCTTCAAATCTCTGCTTAAGTGTCACCTTCTCAATGAGGCCCCCCTGGTCCCTTTACCAATGAATGTTGTGGCTTGCCTTCCATTTTCTTTTATGGTTTCTTTCTTTCTTTTCTTTTCTTTTCTTTTTTTTTTTTTGAGACAGTCTCACTCTGTCATCCTGGGTAAAGTCCTGTGGTGCCAGAGCTCATAGCAACCTCAAACTCTTGCGCTTGAGCAATCCTCTTGCCTCAGTCTTTGCAAGTAGCTGGGACTACAGACAGCCACCACAACCCCTAACTACAACTAGTTTTTCTATTTTTAGTAGAGATGCGGGTCTCAGACTGGTCTTAAACTCCTGAGCTCAAGCAATCCACCTACCTTGGCCTCCCAAAGTTCTAGCATTACAGGCATGAGCCACTGTGCCTGGGCTTTTTTCTTTCTTTCTTTTTTTGTAGAGACAGAGTCTCACTTTATCACCCTCGGTAGAGTGCTGTGGTGTCACAGCTCACAAGCAACCTCCAACTCGTGGGCTTAGGCGATTCTCTTGCCTCAGCCTCCCAAGTAGGTACTACAGGTACCGGCTACAACACCCAGCTTTTTGTTGCAGTTTGGCCAGGGTCGGGTTGGAACCTGCCACCCTCGGTATATGGGGCTGGCACCCTACCTACTGAGCTACAGTCGCAGCCCCTTTTTTCTTTTTTTTAAACAGCGACTCTTGTCACCCAGATTGGAGTGCACTGACACGATCATAGCTCTCTGCAGCCTGAAACTCCTGAGCTCAAGTAATCTTCCCACCTCAGGCTCTCCAGTAGCTGGGATTATAGGTGTGCACCATTACACCCGGTTTTGCTTTTTGTGTTTTTTTTAAGAGATGGGATTTTGGCTCAGCACCTATAGCTCAAGTGGCTAAGGCACCAGCCACATATACCTAAGGTGGCGGGTTCGAATCCAGCCCGGGCCTGCCAAACAACGACGCTGCAACCAAAAAATAGCCAGGTGTTGTGGTAGGTACCTGTGGTCCCAGCTACTTGGAAGGCTGAGGCAGGAGACTCACTTGAGCCCAGGAGTTGGAAGTTGCTGTGAGCCGTGATGCCACAGCACTCTACCCAGGGGGACAGCTTGAGGCTCTATCTCAAAAAAAAAAAAGAGATGGGGTCTTGCTCTGTTGCTCAGGCTGTTCTTGAATACCTAGTCCCAAGCAATCCTCCTGCCTCAGCCTCCCAAAGTCCTGGGATTACAGGTGAGCCACCAAGCCTGGCCTCTTTCCTTTTTTTAATTAACAGCTTTATTTATTTATTTAGAGACAAGAGTTTCACTATGTTGCCCTCGGTAGAGTGCCGTGAAGTCACAGTTCACAGCAACCTCAAACTCTTGGGCTTGAGCCATTCTCTTGCCTCCCAAGTAGCTGGGACTACAGGTGCCGGCCACAATGCCCGGCTATTTTTTTTGTTGTTGTTGCTGTTGTGTTTACCAGGCCTGGTCTGGGTTCAAGCTCACCTGACCCAGTGTATGTGGCCAGTGTCCTAACTACTGAGCTACAGCCGCTAAGCCACCTGGCTATTTTTTTGTTGCAGTTGTCACTGTTTAGCAGGCCAGGGCTGGGTTTGAACCTGCCTGCCTTGGTGTATGTGGCTGGCACCATAACCACTGAACTACAGGCACTGAGCCTAATTAACAGCTTTATTGAGATGTAATTCACAGACCATACAATTCACTCTTTTTTTTTTTTTTTTTGAGACAG